AATTCCAAACTATCTGAAAACAATATATGTTATGCAGAAGAATAAACTGCAGAACATTTGCCTCAACGTTACATCCAAATTCTTTACCAAATTTGAAATAAAAATCAAATTCTATAAATAAATAATAATTATGAAAATTAGAAAAAATAAAACGAGAATGAAATTATTGAGTGGGCGAGCACATTTTTGACACTGCCATCTTACATGTGAAAAAGGCAGCCTGGGCCTGGGTGCTCTCAACCAACTGGCGCTGCGCAACTGCCTGAATTTCCCCAGTTGCGTGGTGGTCCCAAAACGGGCCTGTAGGCCTTGGTCGAGCCCGCCTTCACTTAGGGCAGCCGACTGTACTGAAAATAGGGCCCAGTAGGGCGTATCGAGGCCTTTGAGCCCCGCACACCGTTTGTTTTGCAAAGTGCGCTCTTTTATAGTTCGTACTGCTTCGTAGTTATGTGACTTTTTTTTTCTTTTTTTTTCTTTTTTTTTTTTCCTTTTTTCATTCTAATCTTCTCTGTATCATTCCAATTTTAACAGATGTTCATCATGTTGTCAAATTTTGTCATAGATCAGACAAAATTAAAAATTTTAATTTCATTACGAGTTGTGTGAGGTAACACTTCAGAGCCCGGCTCCCAGCACGTGCTGCTCCCCACACGAATATATTGGAGCAATTGTTAAAATAATAATAATAATAATAATAAATTAATAATAAAATTCAAAATTCAAAGTTCAAAGTTCAAACTGATGAAATGTATCTGAGGGCGGACTCTCACACACTAGGACTTTTTCGACACAGCTCAGCTCGGCTCACCTGTGACCGTAATAGCGGCCAGATACGTCCATGGTGGGTCATAATTGCGGCCGGATACGTCCAGGAAAAAATGTGAATGTGAGTACGCTCTGAGCATCCTTCTGGTCTCTTGCTCGCTGGTGTGTGATCTCGCTGTCCTCGCAGAGACTGCCCAGGGAATGTCAAAGCCACAGTTTCGAGCCTCGTCTATGCGGCACCAAAATGTCCCGAAGTTCCCGAGCTCGCTCAGTTGAGGATACAGCTTGGGGCCAAATATGGAAATAATTTTATAGCAGCAGCCTCAGAGGTCAGACCTGGCAGTGAGGTCAACAAAACAGTAAGTCTTTTTTTTTTTTTTTTTTTTTTTTTAAAGAAGAACACAAAGCCCCATCTATTCTGGGGGAAGTCAGTTCATTCAACTTCATTGTGGCCTTTTTTTTTTCTTTCTTTTCTTTTCTTTTTTTTTCATTCTGGCGGAATGTGGCCTTTTTAATTCTGTTTCAGACCCTTTCTCTTATTTGTATGCCCCTTTTGTCAACTTTATCTCTAAGCTCTGAATTTTTGAAGAAAAAAAAAAGTGTACAGTGTACACTGTATGTTTGAAAGGGGAAAAAAAAAAGAAAGAGAAAAGGAAACATGAAAAGTGTACACTTTTTATTTCAAAAATTCAGAGCTAGAGTCTGCCAGACTCTCCCTACATGCCAGACAGCTTGCTTCTTTTTTTTTTTCTTTTTTGTTTTTCTTTCCCCTTTTTTGTTTCCCTTTTTTTCCCTTCCCCCCCCACCCTTTTTTTGGTTTTCTTCTTTGAAGGCTTTAAGCATTGATTACTCCACAGAAGGAGGATTGACTATCTGGCAAGTTGGCAACATTTTTTTATTTTTTTTTTAATTTTAATGTATTTTTTAAAGTTGTCAACAATGACTCTGCTACTCCCTTGATTTGTGAAACATAATATTAATTCCTAAGTTCTGAACTTCTGACCTAGGCTACCAGCCGGGCTGCCCGGGTGGCCAGCCCGTGCAAGGACCAGGGAAGGTCCTAGCAAAAAAAAAAAAAAATCGGAAAAAATCGGAAAAAAACTATGTTATGCAGCGAAATAAACTGAAAAACTTTTGCCTCAGGGTCACATCGAAATTCTGCACCAAATTTAGAATAAAAAATCAAATTAAAAATAATACTTTTATTTTTATTTTTTTTCGCCCGGCCGGGCAAGTGACGTCGGGCCACTCTGGTAGCCTAGCTTCTGACCATACTTCCGGCGCACTTCTGCGGTGCGCCGTGCGGTGCGCATCCGCCATGCGCCATGCGCAAATTTTGATGCGCTCAATTTTTTTTTATTTTTTTTTTTCAGGGGTGTATTTTTTTTTTTTCTTCTCTTTTTCTTTTAGGGGTGTATGTGTACACCGGGGGCAGAGAGAGAGAGAGAGAGAGAGAGAGAGAGAGAGAGAGAGAGAGAGAGAG